TGGGTGATTAGTCTGATAATTTTCATATATATATATATTTTTTCAATTCTGGAATTATTTATTGTCTCTTATGATTTACTTGCTTGTTTTAAGATATAAGATTTTAAAGATTTATTTCTCCATTTTTTTTCTTCTGTTTTATTTTTTATTGAAACTTGGAGGCGCAAATAAATATATTTAACAATTATTTCTCCAATTTTTTCTTCTGTTTTATTTTTAACTTGGAACTTGGAGGGGCAAAGAAATATATTTAACAATTTGTTTTTAACAACATTTAACGTTACCGCAGTATTTTATTGACACAGTTGATTCTTATTCCGTTTCGTATCTTTCTCCTGCTCATCATAAAACGAAAAGAAATTGAAATCATGCATTTATATAATTGTTTCATTTTGTTTTATTTATTTCCTCAAATAATTTTATTGTACAATTACATAAAAACGAGACGATTCCGAAGTCGTGCATTTCGATTAATTAGTAATAGCCGTGTTTCGTTTCGTATTATACATTTTCGTTTCGTATTATACATTTTCCCATATAACTTTATTTTACAATTTTATACACATGCATCATAAAACGAAACGAATTGTGAATTATGTGTACGTTTTAGATTGTAATCTTCTTGTTATATGCGCACATTTTCATGAGAACGTATATATTGTCGCCGCCCTTGTCCGCCCGGTCGTCTATCGGTTCACATTTTGTTTGTGGACACTCTAGAGTTAGAAATGTTTATCCGATTTTGACGAAACTTGAAATATAGGTTTATATCCCAAAGATCTCGGTTCCTTTCGACATTGGTATGTATCGTACCGTACCATCATGGCCCCAGATTGTACAAAAATCGTGGCATTAGCTTGTGGACACTCTAGAGGTCACAATTTGTTTCAGAATTTGATGAAACTTAATCGGACCGCAACATCCAGGATTATTGTATGCTTTTTCAGCTTGTTCTCTGTCCTTGTGGGCGTATCTTGCATGGCAAGAGCTTGTGTTAACTCTGAATGTAATCCTCTTGTGTTAATTATTTTCAGAATGTAATCCTGTGTTAACTATTTTCAGAATGTAATCTCGCTGTGTTAAACTATTTTCAGAATGTAATCTTGTGTTAACTAATTTCAGAATGTAATCTCGCTGTGTTTACTATTTTCAGAATGTAAAAACACCCTGGTTGAAATTCTTCACATCAATGCCAGTTTATGCTATCATGGTGGCTAATTTCTGTCGTAGTTGGACCTTTTATCTTCTCATTATCAGCCAACCGACTTATTTCCTTAAAGTTTTCCAGTTTGAAGTTTCTAAGGTAAGCACTTTCTCATTCACAAATTAAATGGGGTTTAACGTGTGTCCAGGGTAACGAAAATGGACACGAGTGTAGGTTTTGATCGAAAAGGGGCGTTTCTGTTTATTCTCCGTCGATTTTCAACTTTCAAACCCATCTGTTTTACCAAACTCGGTTATACAAACTGTCAAGGGGTCTTTAACGTGCTGCCAATGGAAAAAACGGGGTCTCTGGGCTTTTTTTGTCCCATTTTCTCGAACGACGAGACCCCCCCCCCCCCATCGGGTATCAATATCTTTTACCATTAAAATGAATGGATTATTGGCATTACCCATGCATAATTAGTTATCGTATCTATCCCAGTCTGCAGTGAGTACGGCAATGGCGCAGAAATAGGTTACGAGAAATAGACAGTGCTTTAGTTTACGAGAAATAGACCAGTAGTATTTTCAGTGCTTAGGTTACGACACATAGACAGTGTATTTCCAGTGCTTTAGGTTACAAGAAATAGACAGGATATTTTCAGTGTTTAGGTAACGAGAAATAGACAGTTGTATTTTCAGTGTTTAGGTTACGAGAAATAGACAGGATATTTTCAGTGTTTAGGTAACGAGAAATAGACAGTTGTATTTTCAGTGTTTAGGTTACGAGAAATAGACAGTATATTTTCAGTGTTTAGTTTACGAGAAATAGACAGTTGTATTTTCAGTGTTTAGGTTACGAGAAATAGACAGTATATTTTCAGTGTTTAGGTTACGAGAAATAGACAGTTGTATTTTCAGTGTTTAGGTTACGAGAAATAGACAGTATATTTTCAGTGTTTAGGTTACGAGAAAAAGACAGGATATTTTCAGTGTTTAGGTTACGAGAAAAAGACAGGATATTTTCAGTGTTTAGGTTACGAGAAAAAGACAGGATATTTTCAGTGTTTAGGTTACGAGAAAAAGACAGGATATTTTCAGTGTTTAGGTTACGAGAAAAACAGTATATTCTCAGTGTTTAGGTTACGAGAAATAGACAGTATATTTTCAGTGCTTAGGTTACGACACATAGACAGTGTATTTTCAGTGTTTAGGTTACGAGAAAAAGACAGGATATTTTCAGTGTTTAGGTTACGAGAAAAAGACAGGATATTTTCAGTGTTTAGGTTACGAGAAAAAGACAGTATATTCTCAGTGTTTAGGTTACGAGAAATAGACAGTATATTTTCAGTGCTTAGGTTACGACACATAGACAGTGTATTTCCAGTGCTTTAGGTTACGAGAAATAGACAGTATATTTTCAGTGTTAAGGTTACGAGAAATAGACAGTTGTATTTTCAGTGTTTAGGTTACGAGAAATAGACAGGATATTTTCAGTGTTTAGGTAACGAGAAATAGACAGTTGTATTTTCAGTGTTTAGGTTACAAGTAGACAGTATATTTTCAGTGTTTAGGTTACGAGAAATAGACAGTATATTTTCAGTGTTTAGGTTACGAGAAAAAGACAGGATATTTTCAGTGTTTAGGTTACGAGAAAAAGACAGGATATTTTCAGTGTTTAGGTTACGAGAAATAGACAGTTGTATTTTCAGTGTTTAGGTTACAAGTAGACAGTATATTTTCAGTGTTTAGGTTACGAGAAAAAGACAGGATATTTTCAGTGTTTAGGTTACGAGAAATAGACAGTATATTTTCAGTGTTTAGGTTACGAGAAAAAGACAGGATATTTTCAGTGTTTAGGTAACGAGAAATAGACAGTATATTTTCAGTGTTTAGGTAACGAGAAATAGACAGTATATTTTCAGTGTTTAGGTTACGAGAAATAGACAGTATATTTTCAGTGTTTAGGTTACGAGAAAAAGACAGGATATTTTCAGTGTTTAGGTAACGAGAAATAGACAGTATATTTTCAGTGTTTAGGTAACGAGAAATAGACAGTATATTTTCAGTGTTTAGTTAACGAGAAATACGACCATATACTTTAACATTATGTTTTGTAACCCATTCTTTAATAAAGTCGCAAAGACTAGCATCGCCATTTTGTCGTTTGTCTGAACCCTGTCTAAGTATGGACACTGCTCGTCAAATACGAGTGGTTTTTTTTCCGGGGACCGTTATTTAAGATGTCTGACTTTTTCTTATATTATGATAAGGTCTTTATCATGTCGGCCATTTAAGACCTGTCAGTCTGGTGGTCAGTTAATTAAACACCAATCAAAGACTTTTAATACTAGTCTTGATTAGCAGGTCGTTTTTATATCGTACCGACTAAAAAGATATGCCTTGGAATAGGGGTTAACCTTTCTACAAAGACTAGGTCAATACAATATATATAAAAATAGAGAGAAAAATGAAGATTGAAGTCCGCTCGAAACAAACTAGGTCATTTTGGGAGTAACACTTGTTTTTTGTTTTTTATTTCAATAATTCGCTTAATTTTTTCTCAAAATTATTGATATGCTGAGTTTTGCCAAACTCTTGTTACTAAAAGGATACCGTAAAAACAGCATCAAACATACATCCAATATTGTTACCAAAAAAAAAGAAAATTAGTTTTTATTTCTAACGACCTGGCAACCGTGGCTATCATTTCCTGTATTTGATAAGGCCAAGGAGGTCAAGGTCGACATGTGACATGTTGATTTGACGTGAAGTGGTTTTTATAGTTATGTCGACAAATTCATTCACTTTATTTCCAAGCAAATTAACCAAGACACATTCAAGTGACGCAAAAAAATAGCAAGGCGTTAAACCCCATTCCATTTCATTTCATTTCAACAAACAGCATTTTGCTAGATAAAGACTTGGGAGAGAGAACCCTAGTCAAAACGTCTCTTATTAAATAAAAAACCTTAACTGTATTATTACTACTACTATTATTATTATTCCATATAATCGTGTCCTGTGTATTGTAGCAGTGTATATGTTCATATATAATTTGCATACGTATTTAATGAATAAGATTTAAATTGCATATTTTATTTTAAAACTAAAGTAACATTTTTTTGCTGACGTTGATAGATAGCAGCTGAACTCTGTTATATAAGAATGTTGACGCGAGAGAGAGAGAGAGAGAGAGAGAGAGAGAGAGAGAGAGAGAGAGAGATTGGGTTTAATGTCCACTCGACACAAACTAGGTCATTTCGGGACTAACACATGGTTCAATTTTATTTCAACAATTCGCTTGCGCGTAGGGGTCTTTAGCAGTGGGAGGAAACTGTAGGACCCGGAGAAAACCCACGAGGTTGGACAGGCGACCCTACTCCTTGTCACTACTCATTGCCACGTACAACCCACGGATTAAAGAGACACTAGAAGAGTCCTTTATTTTATGTTATTTTAGCATGGGTTTAAGTATAATTAATGGTGACACGTAAGACTTTTTAAACAATACCCTATGTAATTTAAATTGAATATCTATGCAAATTATATATGAAAATATGCAATACTACAATATTAGTTATATATAGCCCAAAATGGTGAATGCGACAACTAAGTATATTAAAGTGCTTGCCTCGGTTTAAATTTCAGAGTGTAATTGTTTAATTTAAAAAAAAAAAAAAAAAACTAGAATAATAATAATAAAGTTTATTTTCCAATTTTTCAGAGTGGAACCCTTTCAGCTCTGCCTCATCTAGTCATGGCTATTATTGTACCTATAGGAGGTCAGGTCGCTGATATGCTACGACGACAAATTCTCACCACAACCGTTGTTAGAAAAATCTTTAACTGTGGAGGTAAGTCATTCATTCATTCATTCATTCATCCATTCATTTATTTATTCATTCATTCATTCATTCATTCACTCAGAAACAGCAGCTCTTAGTTTATAGAGAAAGCATGAACACTGAGGGTAATTTATTGGACTGGAAGTGGAAGGCATAGTTGATTTATGAGTGTGGATCTTAACGAAACGAACGGCAGGCTACACAAATGTATTTACTTTTTAGCCTGAACCCAATTAAGTTATGTATGGGTATAGTCGGTGATGGTGGATGTATTGAAATGTGCTTCCGTCCGTCTATCCGACTAGCATTTGTTTCCCGAACATTTCTCAGGAACCGCTCGAGACATCTCAGTTACTCAGTTAAATAATATTTCCATAGAAACAAAGTTACGTTGGTGGTGGGGCAGGAATTTTTGCAGGGGGGGTTTTGCCAGGCTTCTGTTAAGGAAATTTGATAATTGACATTGCATGATGCCACCATCGTCTCTAAATTACGTAGGCATACATACACATTGAGATTTTTAAAGAGAAAAATCCAACACCCCGTTTGATGTCAATTTTTATCATGAATTAATAGGATCATATTGTGATTCAATTTCATTGATGCAAAGCATTAATTGTGATATCACATATGTCTATATCATTATTTCGCGCTTTGAATGTCAATCCCATCCCACCATCTGATAATAAAGGATAAAGCACACGACCCTTTTCTCATAAAGTGTTGTTTTACAATTGTTTTAGGCAGCTAAGCATTGTGGGGTTTGGACATTGTACCCCTCCCCCACCCGATCCCACCCTGATGGGGGTACAATATGTTCCACCCGTCTCGGCTTTGATCCCCGGGGCTTATATCAGGAAGCACTAATGTTAGGTAATTCTCCATTCCTAGGAGAAATCGTTATAAAAATTTAGACATGTCTTCTTTTTAATATCTGCGTCCGAGTTTTGTTTATGCCTTATGTCAGGTAATTCTCCAGTCCTCGGAGAAATCGCTATAAAGGTAGAATTTAGACATGTCTTTTTAATGTCTGCGTCCCAGTTTGGTTTATGCCTTATGTCAGGTAATTCTCCAGTCCTCGGAGAAATCGCTATAAAGGTAGAATTTAGACATGTCTTTTTAATGTCTGCGTCCCAGTTTGGTTTATGCCTTATGTCAGGTAATTCTCCAGTCCTCGGAAAAATCGCTATAAAGGTAGAATTTAGACATGTCTTTTTAATGTCTGCGTCCCAGTTTGGTTTATGCCTTATGTCAGGTAATTCTCCAGTCCTCGGAGAAATCGCTATAAAGGTAGAATTTAGACATGTCTGTTTAATGTCTGCGTCCCAGTTTGGTTTATGCCTAATGACAGGTAATTCTCCATTCCACGGAGAAATCGCATTAAAGGTAGAATTTAGACATGTCTTTAAATGCATTATCCTCGAGTATGTTGAAGAATAACCCAGGGGAGTATCAACAGTAGTAAATAAATGAAGTATAATGAGTTTAACGTTTTCCCTGTCTCCTCTAGAGTAAAAATAATACTTAGTCTCGTTAAACCAGACCGTCTGTAGACTAGAACATTAATATACCCTAGAGTCTCGAGACGGAATATAAGCCGCATAATGAATCCCGCTTCATTGCCGTACATTGAATAATGGCAGCAGAATACATCGCGTTAGTTATTACCGGGTCTCGCGAGATTCAAGATGGCGTTGGATATGTTATGCGATTTAAAGCTGATCACGTCAAGCACCAATCGCGTGTCTGTTCTCCTTTCTCGTGTAACCGATTTTATTTAAATTTATTACCACCAAGTAATCCCGCAAGCGGCTTGGGGAAATCGTAACAAATTCCCAACCGTGCTGTTTTTTTCCGTTGGTTTATGAAATCCATATGTTGGAGCCAAAGTGTGGGGATCACGTGGCTAAGTGGGTAAGACGCTGGCTCGCTAGCCTGGAGGTCGGGTGTTCGATCCCTGGATTGGCCGAGAAAGTTCATCCCCCTTGTCAGTGATGAGACGAAAAACTGAGGTCCCGTGTATACATTGGAATGCAGGTAAAAGATCCCTTGGCAGTTGGAATTCGATATAAGAGTAGGCGATAGTGCCGCTGCCCGGGCAAAATTTCCCTCATAGCACACTGTATGGCGTATGCCCGTATTCATTAGCCCAGTATAGGAGCAGAACAGTAGGACGTTAAACCCCATTTCATTTCATTTCATGGAGCCACAGTGAGTATGGCCTCTGTTCACTAAGAAGTTACCGGTGTGGAGAAAGTTGAACGTGACTAGAGTTTACGCCAGGCGCTCCAGTCTTCTCCCACATCTAAAGACCCATTCCGCAAGCGAATAATTTAAATAAAATTGAACCGTACGTTAGTCCCGAAATGGCCTAGTTCGAGTGGGCGTTAAACCCCATCTCTCTCTCTCCCTCTCTCTCGCTCTCTATTTACCGCCCTTTTTGATTGGCCCCTTTGGTGCAGAAAGTAAAACGTTAAACCCCATTTCAATTCATTTTAGACGGAATTTAGATCCTTTCACAAAAAATTCAATTTAGTTACCTCGTGTGTAGAAAATCGTACAATGATTCGACAGTTACGAATGTCTTTGGACTAAACTTGCTTTGTCAAATTCGATATTAATGTGTACTATTTTCTTTTTAAGAAACATATCAAATGTGTTTGACCATGTGATCATTGTGTTTCATTAAACACGGAATTTAAATTCTTTGACCAAAATGTCAATTTAGTTACCTCGTGTGTAGAAAATCGTACAATGATTCGACAGTTACGAATGTCTTTGGACTAAACTTGTTTATTTTTACATTCGACATTAATGTGTGATAGTTTTTCTTTTTAAGAAACATATTATTAAATGTTTTTGACCATTTGATCATTGTGTTTCAATAAACCTATCAAATTGACAAATTAATTTATTATATTATATTTTTTTGTAAAAAGAAAACGTGAATTAATACAAATTGAGATAAAGACGGAACACATTATTTTTGTATTTTTGTTCTAGTTGACAGGCTTTGAAAGTCAGTTTTATCAGTTGAATCAAATGATTTGCACAAACATTCACCAATTTATCTTGCATCGGTGAATCTGTCAGCCATTGTTTTTCTTGACAGTAAGCTTTATGTTATTTTGCTTTCGGGATGAGTTGTTTTTTAAATGTAAATAAATTCCTATCAATTGAAAGTGATAAGGTAGTTAATAATTATCGCCCTTGCATCGCCTCTTCAATAAGGACGTTAAATCATTTGTAATGAGCAGTTAAATAGTCAAAATCAGATTACAGGTACACTCGATCATCCGGTTCAATTCAATACAATGGACTTAGTTTCAACCTTTTCAAGAGACTCGGTCATCCATTCCAATTTCATCCCTGATATTGACTTATAGACTCGATCATCCAATCCCAGTATGGACTTAGCTTCAATGAGCTGTATGGCCACAGATCACTAATGATTTCCCCATTGACTTTAATGTTAATTCTCGTCTCTTAGACCGGCTCTTAACTTTTTCCCAAATTTTCGTTGGGTAGAACGCTTTCTACCACAGATGGAGCAACATGTGGCAACCTCTTGCCCAAAAGCACGTATGGGGTTCACCATGGAAAACTTGAGATACACAAGCCGGAAGTAGAGACAAGAAAACATGCAATTTTTGACCCTACATTTCAACCTAACCAACCTCTCAACTCTTGTATCCTTCCGCCTCAAAATCGTGAATATTCACGAAAACCTGGCAGAAAATATATTTTCAAACCCTTTTCTTCGATTCTACACCAAAAAATCAACAAAAATCGCCATGCAAAAGGGGGGAAAAGGGAAAGGGAGAGAAAGACTAAAAATAACTTTCGCCCTACATTCGTGGGTGCCGGCGTAGACATATTTGGTGAGCTGTGTCCGTATATGCGAACAGAAAGATTAACAAGAAAGTCAAATAACGGCGTCTGCGCACAAGCCCATCTTTCCTCTTGAACTGCTTACTGTATCGTCACGTGACCGCTATGGCGTATGCCCTTGAAAAAAAAGAAAGAAAAAAAAAGCGATCTGAACGTCAGCATGACGTCAGTAAATTTTTGAAAGACACTTCAATTATCTTTTAAGTTGAAATACTATTTTAAAATGTTTATTTATTAAATATGAATCATTTGAAGGAAATATGAATCATTTCCCCTTATCTACACGTCAGCATGACGTCAGTAAATTTTTGAAAGACACTTCAATTATCTTTTGTGTTGAAATACTATTTTAAAATGTTTATTTATTAAATATTAATCATTTGAAGAAAATATGAATCATATTCCGTTATCGGATTCCGTAGGGAATGCGAACTAATAAAGCAATGTTCTTTTAAACTGCACTACTTTGTATCACTACGCAAAATGGCCCCAAAATGAAATAAAATGGAGTTTAACGTCCTACTGTTTTGCTTTAAGTGAGCTAATGAAGACTGGCATACGCCATACAGTGTGATATGTGGGAAGTTTTGCCAGGACAGCGGTACTATGGCCTACTCTAAATCGAATTCCAACTGTCAAGGGATCTTTTGCGTGTACGCTAATGTGTACACGTTACCTCGTTTTTTTCGGATAATCCGAACTACTAGACAGTTGTCTTCGTCAGGCTCTCCGTCCTGCAGAATCCCCGGTTGTACGTGGCAAGGAGTAGTGTCGCCTGTCCAACCTCGTGGGTTTTCTCCGGGTCCTCCGTTTTCCTCCCACTGCTAAAGACCCCTACGCGCAAGCGAATTATGTAAATAAAATATGTTAGTCCCGAAATGACCTAGTTTGTGTCGAGTGGACGTTAAACTCCATCTCTCACTCTCTCTCCGTCCTGCATCACTGACAAGGGACAAAATGACCACGGGCAAGATGGGTGGGATGGCGTTTAACGTCTTGTCAAGTCAACAACACAGCTCGATGGTTACTTGTTCAATGCAAACTAGGGAGGAATTGTTGGTGGTGATTGGCGGGGGGGGGGGGGGGGTTCGCTGAAAGTAACGTTTCCATTTACAATT